ATGAGAAAGTATGTCAACACGGTTTTCGATGCAATTATGCAATTACAATGAATGGGGACAGATGCTTTAAAGCTTCAAATCGTATGAAAACTACTCCAAATATTTTTAAAAGTAGTCCATACAACTCGTATGACCACATTATTTAATCAGCAAGATGCAGAAATGAATCAGAAATTCATTACATTCATCAAGAAAGCATACAGACTAATGAATGGAATCAACTGATTCATCGAAAAGATCCAACTCATATGAACAATTCATTCACAAAATGGACTCATGAACTTATCAGTCACTCATGATTGTGCCAAGCTAGGCCGCATACTGAGATTTTCAGAGCATAAAAATGTACATTTTGGTCTGTTCCTCACAACAACAACAACAAAAAAAAAATAAATAAAAAATAAAAAATAAATCTATTGCTTCAGAAGACTTAGAACATAGTGCACGAGTCATACTAGTCATACATTCATGATGGTTTTTGCCATTTTGGAGCTTAAAGTCCCCATTCTTTATCCACTTTCGTTACATTTAAAAAAGTTGTTACATTTAAAAATGTTTTATGAAAGAAACAAGATTTGGAGCGACATGTATGAGTGTAAATAATGTCAGAATTTCCTTTTGGGTGAACTATCTCTTTAAGAAGGTTAGAAACTAAAGGCAGAATGCATTATAGCAAAGTCTATTTCTCATCAACAGAAAAGCACAGAAAGACCTTATTGGCCATGTAAAAAGAAGATGTGTGATTGTGTGCGATTTGTCCTCGTCTCTTCTTCTTCTCCTTCCCTCTCTGAAGTATTGTTCAACGTTTTTCATGTTGAGGGTCGGACCGAATCAATGTCCATGCATCAATATATCACAGCCCTAAAAAACAATTTACCTAGAGCAAGATCTCGGCCATTGATTTGTTTCTGTGCTACGGAGAGCTGCGGTGTGCATAGGTTAATAGCATTTACAGGGGAACGTACGATCTTCCTCAAAAATAATGGTCAGGGGGAAAAAAATGAAAATGTAATATGCTACTGCTACATGTTCACTCTAGTTTCACCAGGTCTTTCAACTGGAAAACTACATTTCATACCCTGGGGGCTTTTATGTTCATGTTTCATGTATATCAAAAGAAAGAGCGAGCAAGTGTGTGTGTGTGTGTGTGCACACGTGAACTGTCACTGATATTCTGCCTATGCTTCATTGTATTAAATGCTCTGCTCGTTTTAACGCACACAGCTACTCTCGCAAAGCTCACCGGTTTATTATCATCACTTGTGGAATTCTAAACAGCTGCCTGAAAGTTCTATTCATCTCCACATATTTCCAATTCCATGCTGCCTCCATCACTCCAGCCACCTTTTCGGTGACAGCGTTTGTCCCACCGGCCACTCAATCGCGCACTCCCGCTGCTAAAGGATGACGAGTGGAGTGCCGAGTTGCAGGTAAAGGATGATGTGTGAAGCCCTGCTGCTGACGGCAGCGTCTCTGTGACAGCACATCAATGAAGGCCTTGATGGACGTCGGGCTGGAAGCGGGCCCTGATTAAAGAGCCCCACGCCCAGCAGCACACATCTGCCGCCTGTCCCCAGTCCGCTGTCACTGCGGCTGGATACAATAAAATAGCGCTCAGGGTCATCGGGGTTTTCGGTGCTGTGACAACAAGCACATTTCACAAGTGCCAATCAAACATGTCTCTCACACAGGCCCCGCCCTCACCCCTCTTCGTCCTATCTTCCTCCCTCATCTGCTGGCCCTCTTCCCAGCTGCTCACCCAGAGATCAGAGGGAAATTCATCAGTGAGCAGCAATGATTTTGAGGTTCAGCAGAGATTTAATAATAGGCAAGGGAGTGTTGCGTGGTGCCTAATCACACTACTAGTAATGGGCTTATATCAATTACCTATTAGCGGAATAGAAGAACACTAACTTGAAGTATGAAAAAATTGGCTTTGAAACAATTTTCACTCAGAAATTGCTAGCAAATTTGACAAATAATTACAAAGAAACAGCAAGTAACACTGAATTAAATGTGAAAACAATGTCTCTCTCTCTCTCTCTCTCTCTCTATATATATACACATTTGAAGTATTACATTTTTTTCAAAGTGTAGACTATAGACTGTTTATTATTTTTTAAATAGGCCTATGTAAAATAATATGTATTATAGAACAGAAACCCATTCAAATGGCACCGTTTCATTGTTGCCACATGGCCTTATGTTTAATTGAGTCAATGGCATCGTTATCATTTTGGTTTGAAATTGGTTTGATTTTGCAATTTTAATCCACTTCTGGATAAATATATTTTAACTCTTTACAGCGCGATCAAATAATTACAAATCTGCAACTGAAAAGAAGTAGAAATAAATTAAAATATAAATGTTATAAAAACGAAAATTAGAAATGTTGCCTTGGCAAATAACTGAAAGTTGAAGTAAAATTACTGAAACTAAAAATAAAGCTAAATATATAACAAAAAAACAAAAAAAGGCAAAAAGGGACAAAAGAACAAAATTACTTTTAAAACAAAACTGAAAGAAAAGAAAATACAACAATTAACAGCTTATACTACTAAACTAATACTAAAGTACTTAAAAAGGTTAAAAAGCATGACTGATGTGTCTGAGGTTTCTTTGCCACACTAGAATGGAAGGTCAGTCTCATACATACAACTGGGGGGAAAAAATGGTATGACTTGTGAGTTTGAATAAGCCACGTCTCAATCCCATTTCCCTTTCTCTTTCCATAAAAATGAACACACTTTAAAACACACCGAGAGTTTTCTGTACTTTTCCTTCTAGAGGGTGAAAAATTCAATGCAATGAAACAGAAGGAATTGGAGCAAGTCTCTCTGCAGTGAACAAACGTCCCTGCATGTGCCGGCCCTGACGCCCAGCTCAATCCATCATTACTACACTAAATCATCTCTCTGTCAATAACACCACTGCAAAATATTACAGTCATGTGGATACTTATTTTTAATGACATTCAGCAGTCCCCTTGGGCTGATGGAGTGAGCGAAAAATACAGAGAGAGAGAAAGAATGCATAGGTAGGCAAGACCATTTGGCAGAAAAGTGCTTAGCAGCTTGAAAAGAGTTGAGATTGAGCGAGCAGTGGAAGTGTTAAATACTTAAGGAAGACTGTTATCTCCATGACAGATAATTGCTAGTTTGTTCAGTCAAAAATGTTTTAAGGATCTATGAAAGATCTTTGAGATTCTGGGAAAACCTGGAAAAAGTTTCCAGCAAGCTGGTGATTCCAACTCCATCATCTGGGTATAATTGCTCATTTAATATTAGAATAGGTTTTTGACATTCTCATTTATTACAAGAGCTCAATGCAACCTGAAATTCTAAATGTGTGTGTGGTCTGATATCAATGTCACGCCTCCTCAATAACTCAGACAGGGCAGTGTGCTTATCTTTCTTTGACACTCAGATCAATCTTGCTTTTAATCCTGAACCCATTCGCAGTCTTTCTCACTTCAACTCCACACATCAAACACAAACATCACATCCCTCCTGTGAATGTACGTGTCTGTGTCCAATCAAGTCAAGGACACAGGATGGGGGTGGCTGATCTTCCAGAATCCACATTATACACCTCATATAGGTAGTAAGCAGTGCTGGGTGATGTTAAACACTCTTTATTTTCATAGAACTATAGTGTGAATAGACTGATATGCTGAGAATACGTATGAATATACAGTGAATTAAAATTCTATGCCTTTTTGGTTTCAGATTATGTATTACATTGTCTGTTTTATATAATATTGTTATTTATATGAGGGGAATATATATATATATTAATATATATTATTATATTCAGTAAGGATGCATTAAACTGATCAAAAGTGAGTAAAGACATTTGTTACAAAAGATTTCCATTTCAAAATGTTCTTTTAAACTTCATATATATATATATATATATTATTTTTTAATGTTTTTTTGTATTATTTATTTATTTTATTGTATTTTGGATCACATAAATGCAGCCTTAGTGAATCTATCTATCCATCTATCTATAGCCATAATATATAAATATAACCATTCAAATGTTTGAGGTCGGACAGATTTATTTATTTTTTAACTTAAAACATGTCCAGGTTATGGAATCAACTCAAGATTTTTTTTTTTTTTTTTGTAAAAAAAAAAAAGCTC